AATGATAACGTGTGCGTACTGCTACTAGTCAATGGGCAGATGTTTTCTGCCGAGTAACGGACAATAGCTTGACCCTCTAAGTTGGTGAAATTTTTTCTTTTATTTCACTCCGCTGCAGTGTCCCGGGTATTGAAAAGTGATGAAGCAGTGCTTTGAAGTTTGTCGTTACAATGAAACAGTGTTACACTTGTAAGAAAAGAAAGGAACAATAAACATCATTCATTCTTCCTCAGAACATGACTTTTTATGGCATTTTATCGCGCCACGTGCTAAATATGAACGAATAATAATTATTGGTCATCTGGACTTGTGAGCCACTATATAAGACATTAATCTTAGTTGGTTCAATCGAGCATCGAGGTTCCATCGTGATGGTTTGTAAGAAAACAATGTCACATATTTTAGCAGTTATTCTATCAGTATACTTCTGACGCACGACATGAATCTTAGCTATGTAACAATCTTAGCTATGTAGCTTCCCGATGCCCTTCCTCCTGAATGCGTGCCACTTAACTGCTGAAAAAGTCGAAATAGTTTGTAGGCGACTCAGCTTCTCAAAAATCATGTCGATCTGAAGTGCGGTCCAACTCTAACGAGATACTGTCATACTTAACAACCTCCACATCTCCAAATCTATACGTGTCTCACCCATATTCCTTTTACCTTGAAAACATAAATGTGTGCGAAATAAACTTATCACTCTCGCGTGTTTACTTGCCAGTGTTCTTTCTGTTTATGAATTTTCATATTTCGGGGCTGAACAAAATATCCTTGGGGCATCTCAGTCTTGTTAAATATATTTGTGCACAATTGCGTACGGCAAACGAACATGTTGTTCAAAATCCCTGCAATTCAAAAGAGAAGACGTAAAAAATGACGCGTTATAATCTCTACGTGGTGACGCATTAATCATAGTCATGTCTCTTGAAGCAAAGCTATATACATATGCTCTTTTAATTTAACCCAAAGAAAACTCATAAGACTGGGAAAGAGCTACTGCTGTGAAACGTGTAGCGAAATACGTATTACTAGTAGCAATTTTATTATATTCTAGGCAATAAAAATTGCTTTATGTCTCCAACAAGGAGAACGCTCAATTGTTTTAACCAGAATGCAAATACGTCACAATCAATACAATTAGCAAATCATTACGAGGTTCCCTCGTTAAAAAGCAGAAGAGCTTGCTAATTTTTGATTGAGAGGGTTTCACGCGCACATGGTGAAGAAATTACCGAAAGCAGTGACACAAGATTTTAATGTAGCTGTTAACCACTTTGGTAGTCTCAAGTTTTACATACGTCACTCAAACTTCGAATTTCTAATAGACAGAAAATATACAGTCATATCTTACTCATAAGTTTAGGTCATTCCCATTACTAGCTATAATTCTTCCAAATGATGCTCTGGAACTAATATTACGTGGTAAATTCACTGCGATAAGCATTTAGAGTGAATCCGTTCTTGTTGGAATTTGTAACCTTGCATGGCAAAGTGATGCTTCGTTATTATCAGTGCTGAGGATTGGGCGCCGAAATATTTACAACTAATTGTTGGTCCCAATGGATTGATTGATATGTGTGGTTTAACGTCCCAAAACCACCATATGATTATAAGAGACACCATAGTGGAGAGCTCCGGAAATTTTGACCACCTGGGGTTCTTTACCGTGCACCTAAATCTGAGCACACGGGCCTACAACATTTCCGCCTCCAACGGAAATGCAGTCGCCGCAGCCGGGATTTGATCCCACGACCAGCGGGTCAGAAGCCAAGTCACTTAGCCACTAGACGACCGTGGTGGGGCATTGGTCCCAAAGGAAAACTTCTCATTGGCGGAAGGCTTCATGAGTTGGATGGCACTCACAAAGATAAGCATCCAGTCACTCTCCCATGTAAACATGAGTTTATGCAATTAATTGTGACAGATGCACACTGCCGGGTTTTACATGATAGTGTGTTAAGCATAATGACGGAAGTGCTACAATAATTTTGGGTGGTTCAAGTGAAACGAGGGGCAAATAAAGTGATCAAATGCAGTTTTTTGTGCAAAAGATATAGAGGAAAATATACTAATATCAAGAATACGTGTACGCCCGTGAATGCAATGAAAATGTCTCGACCGGTCGATGTGGTTAGGCACAGATTTCGTAGGGCCACTTTACGTCAAGCAAAGGGAGCCGGAGTCTGGCACCACGAAGTCTTTCGTATTGCCTTTGACTTGTGCGAGTACGAGAGTGTTGCACCTTGCACTGAAAAGTTGCCTGACGTCAGTGGTTTTCCTGTTTCCGTTTCGTAGATTTCTATCACGAAGAGGTGTTCCTTTAACTCTGACAACGCCTTGACATTCAAGATGGCATCACGAGACTCACAACACAGCTGGAGCATCATCAATGAATTGCCTTTGCTACATTTCATGCTTCTCAACGCATCGAATGGAAGTTCACTTAGAGCACCATGATGGGGAGGATGGTGGGAGAGATTGATATGGGCACTGAAGTCAAAATATTAACGTGATATTGTTAGAGAGCTTGTGTTAGAGAGCTCGCACTCGACGGATTCTTAAAATTTTTGCGGCAATTAATTCGTGAGGCAATAAGCTCTTCTAGTGAGTTATTTCCATGGTTACTTAAAAAGGGGTTTGAGGGCCTCTTTGGCGCATTTTGTTCGACAGGTGTGAAGACGAAAACGAGCCAACTCGGCAATTTGTAGGCGCATTTGGGAAGCCTCAGACTACGTCGAAAAAGGCCGGAATAGTGCAGCCATTGCTGCTAAAAACACACAGCAACTTTAGACAGTTCTGAAATTGGACGACATTGTATATTCAGTGGGAAACATATCATGCCTTTCTAGAGGCGTCGATCAAGAAAATAGCAAGCGCTAGATAATGTGCAGCTATCTGTGAGACATTGTGAGACCTTTTATGGCCTTCGAGATGGCGAGCGCATGGCGTGTATCTTGAAGGCCATGCGACTATTGCTTTAGATGAAAAACCTGTATGTACCATTCGCGCTAACACAACATATCAATAAGTATGCACTTAGTGGTCGAAGGGCACACAGGGGCCACGGATTTCGTGATCGCGTTCAACCCCTAAAGGCAAAGCTTAAGGGTCCTCCTCCTCCTCCTCCTCCTCCTATTATTATTATAGTATTATTATTATTATTATATTATTATTATTATTATTATTATTATTATTATTATTATTATTATTATTTGCATAGACGGATATACAAGGGCTCAGAGGAAGGAGAGAACAAGCTGGCAGCTGCCTCCTGGAAGGACACAACCCCTGCTTACTGTTTTGGAAGGATGCAAGAGGTAGAGGAAAGGAATACGAAATAAGAGAAAGAGGAAAGACAAGAGGAAAGTAAATAAGGATAATGAGAACTTAGATAACCGTAAGTATATTGGAAATAAAAATCATCTGACAATCATAAGTCAGCCACATCTAAAGCCCCTCGCCCCCCCCCCCCCCGTCCGTTTTTTCTTCGCAGAATATTTTTTTTCCTTCTAACAGGAGCCTAATTAAAACAATCGTATCTGGACTAGAAAATTGGTCTGCTGTCCGTTTGTTATATATTCTTGTGGTACGTGAGGCCCTCTCGAAAAAAAGGATTCCGCACTCGCCGACATGTCTAAAGAGCGGCGCTGACTAACAGCCCCCCGGTTTGCATACAAATGGCCATCCAACAAGTGGACGAAGGGACTACCGCGACATAGCTAGGCTGGTAGGAGCATTGAACGCGCAATATAAATGTTGCATCTTCACTCCCCACAAGCGCAAAGTTGTGTTTTCGTAAACTATATTTTATTTACTACCATAACTCAATTACTACAATTCACATAAAAGCTGTACAATTAAGGTTCCCTACACTTCCATTCGCTTCATTATCTGTTGATTCTTAATAAGGTTCGGCCCAACAAAGAAACGAATTCTGAAATGTTCTCGTCAATCTTTGTTGTGACTCACTCAGTTGGTCAAGCCAGCCTTTGCCTCTCACCTACCCGGGCACTTTAGCGGGGAGATATGTCCACTGAATACCTCATCTATCTGGTTATCAAAGAACTTCGTGACAAGGAGGTAACAAGTTTCGAAGACATGAAACCCTGAAGATGATGTAGCCGCAAAAAAAGAAACTTTCGTCAGAAATACTCAGAGAAAAAGAAAATATATATTTACTAGCTGCTGACAAAATATACCGAATGTGCTTTTTTAATAAGTGTTCTTAGGCAGTTTGTTCATTGTTTGTAGATTCTGCCAGCGATGAGACTGCTACTGGTTGTTCTGCCAACAGCGTAGGTTTGACTTTCTTTCGTAGCATTATTACTTGGCACACCTTGCTTCGGTTTTCTCTGTAGCGCTCTGCTGGTATGTCAAGATGAAACTGGCAACTATATTTTCCAACATTACCTTCACTCTCGGAGTTGTCTGGTGGATTTGATGTGGTTATGCAAGAAATGTCACTGTTTAGTTCCTCATAGTCAGAATCGTGGTGGTCTCAAGGAAAAGTTCGGTGGTTAGGTGGATTGAATATGTTTTGCGTTGCGTTCGATGTACTGTGACAGCAGCTGCTCGACCATGCATTCATGTGGTGAGGGATCGGAAAAGGGAGATAACCCATCCGAAATTCAAAGAAATGTAAACGTGCGGAACTGAAAAAAAAAAAGCATCTCGTGTCTAGAAAGACAGGCGTGTGCTCCGATTTTTCAGGTGTGGACCGCAATGCACAATTGAAATACGAAGACTTACGGCTCGTCTAAAATGCGTTCTTCCATTTTTGTTTGCGCCAGTCCCCTTGATGTCCGTTATATTTTGGCTTTCACGCTTATCTTGAGGCCTAAACATTGCTTGACAACAACATAATGAACGCTCTGAAATAGCGTTCTCGACTTATTGCAATAGAGTGCTGGACTATTGGGTTGGAAAATTTGTCGTTAGCATTTCATTGTCTCTTGCTTGCGTTGTCATAAACAATAAAAAATCCAGAAGAAACCAAGTGATGATGATGTTTTCAGTATTTATTGTATACTGTGTTTTGAATTGGTCAGGACGGTGAAGTCGGCGTTGTTTCTTTTTTTTTAGTTCCGTGAAAATTGATCGGTGATGCTGTCCGGGTGTGAAGCAGTGAGATCTCTGCAAACGAAGACAGGTGCACATCAACTACTTATTTTCACTTGCAATAGCGAGCTATATTTCTTCGTGTGTTCATAAAAAGTTTGTGTATGTATGCTGCTCGGTTTTAATAAATTTTGATATGCTATAGTAAGAAGACCTTCGCAAGTTTTAAGCATTCATAAAGTTTCGCATTACAATTGTATCAAACTGTTTAATTGAAGCACAAATAGAGTGATGTTAAAATGTTGTCAGACGCCGTTATTAACCTCATAAGTGCCGCTTCGATAGATAATTCACACTGTTTATTTATTTATTTTTATTTTATTTATACAATACTGCAGGCCTAGGGCGGCCCAAGCAGGAGTGGTTTGTTTGTATATCAATGATGAAAACCAGATTTAAACACAAAAAAAAGAAATACAAATTGAGAGCAAGAAGAAATAAGCAATGAACAATCGAAGAAAACACCAGAGAACAGGAGAGGACTAATCAGTGCATATTTCAGACAAGCAAGGCAGCAATGATCATAACAGTAGCGTAGCACAGATTTTACACAACTAGGTATGGGAAACCAATCACAGGATAAAGGCACCGTTACAAATTTATTCTGCGAGCTAGTTAAACAACTGAAGAACATTATTTGATAAGAAGGTTTCAGATGGTAAGGCATTCCAATCACTTATGGTGCGCGGGAAAAAGGATTGTTTGAATATGTTTGTGCGTGCAAAAATCGAGTTAAATTTAAAAGGGTGAAAGTTCCTGGTGGGTCTATGGGGCAAAAGGTTTAGATAAGGAGCGGGGTCGAGTGCAAGTTTACGGTTCCAAAGCTGATAAAGAAATTTTAGTCTTGTTATTTTACGGCGGCTCTGTAAGGTCATGATGTTGTTACCTAAAATGTGACAAAAAATGTTAATTAAAACCTTCTGAAGCGGTGCTAAAATAGATCAGCGTACATATAAAGGACCAAACTAACACAGTGATAAGCTATTCGCGGCAGATCTCTCTCTTGTGGTTGCGCATGACACCACTCGTGCAGTTATACCACGAGAGCCTCTTGTGTATATGAATATCTTACCAGACAGAATAACTTTATCCCAAATAGAGAGTCATCAAAACGAATGAGCGCATTGAGAAAAAAAAAAACGTGGCAAAAAGATAGAATTCAGGACTGGATGATACAGCAAGTGCTTTTCTCTAATGCGCATTCAGTAACTGTGCAAACGAAACCTGCTCCACTACTTACACTTTTTGCCGATGATTGTGGGGTATCCTAGACCACCGAGGCCGTATCCGTAATTGAGAACATATGGGCTGTATCCATACCCATAGGTTGGAAAACCGTATCCATAATTGTAGCCGTAGGTGCTTAGTGAAGCTGTATATACTGGTACAGCTGCGGCACCCCAGGAGTATCCATAGGGATAACCGAGGTAACCAGCGCAGGCACAGGTGATCAAGGCAAGGATGACACAGGCACGGATCTATGAAGATGAAATAAAGATACGATCGCAGCATCGATGCAATGATACACTCTATTAGGACTTATTCCAAAGCATGCGTACACTTTCGGTCGAGTGTAGAGAAGACCGTGATCTAAGAAGTTTAAAGCTATCTGTACAATAGCTGGCGCACACTCTTTCGAAGATAATGTCAATACAACATGAGATAGCTGCACATGCCAGCTGTATCTACAGAGCACTGGGACCTGTGTGCTACTTGAGCACCTGATAAAGCAAGAATAATCAAGAACTTCCAAAACCTTCTTTGCCGACGCCGCATGAGCTATGCTGTTAGCAGATTTGACTTGCTTTCACTCAACTTTCTCATTGGTCATTTCTCTAATTATTATGGCGCATAGATCTTCAGAATACCCGAGAAAGCGTCACCCTTGAAATATATTTACACAAATTGAACACAGCCACTTCTCAAAAAAAAAAAGAACTTTCCAAACGCTTGTTTTTGGCGATGTCAGGAAGCTTGCGTATTTATACATGAGTGGTTCTGCGTATTTTATTCTACAAGCTCGCTTGAATTTGATATGTAGATATCCACTGTTTGGTCTTTTATTTTTCAGGAGAGGAAAACGAACTGGCGTGAGGCATCCAGAACATTCGCTAAGTAGTAATTGATTGATGTCTGGGGTTTAGCATCCCAAAATCACCGTATGATTATGAGAGACTTCGTAGTGGAGAGCTCCGGAAATTTCGACCACCGGGGCTTCTTTAACGTGCACGCCAATCTGAGCACACGGGCCTACAACATTTCCGCCTCCATCAGAAATGTAGCCGCCACAGCCGGGAATCGATCACGTGACCTGCGGGTCAGCAGCCGAGTACCTTAGCCATTAGACCACCGCGGTGGGGCTTCCCTAAATAATGAAGAGAATGACTAGCGGACTTTTGAGTGGCGGAATATTCAGTTGATGTCGATTTTCAGAATCAACAATTTAAAAGCTCCACGGGACTGGTCAATAGACTTTCTTGAATCATAGACTTAGTGGCAAAGAATAACTGAACCACAACTCTCTTGTACTCGAATTTAGCTTGACTATTGACGAGCAAGATCACAGTTAATTGGATAAACGTGCTTGTGAATTTTATTATTCTGTCAAATGTATACGCAAATACTGGATAAATCATCGGTTCCGCAGATGAGATCATGCAACCGATTTGTAAGTGCGGGTTTACACACATGAACACATGACGGTGCTACCACTATTGCTTCGGTCACATTATAATTTCAAATGTTCTTGTTGTCCTAAAAACAAACTTGTCCAAGTGTCATCGGAGTACTCGCCGTTGGAGTCCGGAGTGAGCTTACAACTTCAAGGCAGTTCAACCTCGTGTAAAAAGACACCCCGGTCACTAAATGCTTGAAATTAGTGACGGTGGCCACATATTCTTTCATTCATGCTTAATACCGATGTGATCACGCCTGCTACAAAGCCGTTGTAATTATTATGATTATAAAACTGAACGTGTGGATATCTTCAGTAGTTAACTTTTTTTTCACAACCGGTACACAACAATTCTAGATTCATGACGTTCTAACATAGTGCTTTTATAGGAACAGTTCTTGAAGCTAACGTTGAATAATATATATCTTATAAAACATTTGTAAAAACTAAAATAGTTAATTTTTGCAGTACGTGGACATGGCTACAAGTCGGAAGAAAGGGACGCCGGAACTCAACGTTAACTTACCATCGTTGTGAAGTGGCGTTCACGATATCCAGCAGTCAAACGTACTCTGTACCGGGAAGAACCCTTATATACGCACATGGAAATCGGTTGCGCCAAGACACGTCGCGAGGGGGTCATGAATTTTTGGGCCTTCAAAGCCAACTCTGACGGCTTTGGTTCCATTTTGCTTGGACTTGAATATATCAAGTCGGGTATGTTCAGCGTTCTCGGCGACACCCCCACACAAACAAATCAAGATAAGGCGCCTAGTGCATGTTCGAGCCGGTGCTGTGTGACCTTGAAAGGCGAAAGGTGATCAACCTGGGGCACGCTCTTTCCAGACGAAAACGCAATATGAAAACAGACCTCCACAGACGACTTTAGCGTGATAAACTGGTTTTGCCGACGTAGCTATTAGTTTGCTTTAATTTTGCGCGTAGTGACAGGTTTGTGCTGTAGGCTTCCAAGTACTGCCATATATTGGGCTTGAGGAAGCGCTCATTCTTTCATTCTGTGTTCTTCAGCTGTGAAGACATCAGTGGCAAAATTACTTAGAAATCCAGGAATGATCATTACGTAACCGATTGTTCAAGCATACACTTATGCAGGAATCCCTTGGTAATTATGTCTCAAAAATATCTCAGAAATGATTTGTGGTCCTACTCAGGGCGGGCGTCCACATGTTTAGTATGATTTTCGATGGCTTGACTTGGCTCGTCTAATGAGAGAGTAAAGACGCCAGGACAAGCCATTCATGACCATTGCACAAGTGGTCTTGGGTATAATTCATTGCACTATAGTCTGGAAAGGAGGCGTACAAAACACGGTACAATTGTAGGGAAGGTGTATAAAGCCGTATCGTCTCACTGTAAAAGCTCCTTACGTTGAAAAATAGTTCGAAAGCTAAAAATAAAGGTGACTAGGAGGAACTCTTGTGAAAGCAGAACAATGAAAAGTGTCAAAAATTGCACGAAAGGCTAGCGGTATCGCTGTCAATTTTCAGCGTTGCTCGAAGAAGCGTATGTCAGTTGCGTAGCCTGTCATACAAAAAAAGGAATAAAATTCAGTGCCGCCAGCTATCGGAAACATTGAGAACCTACATCGCGATCATTTATTTGTACGCCAGGCACGTAAAAGTGTTATACGTGCTTTGCTTCCAGCTTCGCTCCTCAAGATGTAGATGGCAGGACGCGTATAATATTTTTTCCTGTTATTGAGCCTGGCTATTGCCTAGGGTGTTTTTTAAGTACACTGGCCAATTACTAATATAAACAGAGAAGTGTCAACTTACTCGTCGAAGTACGAAGTAGACATGCGAGAAAACGGCAAAATGTATATTCCAATAAGCTGAAAAAGGCGCTCTTTTTTTTTACCTACGTACTTGCGCCGCAATTCTAAACCGATTTTCGGGCATAAAAGCTATACGGGAGAAAATATAAAGAGCTACCTTGGATATTGAAACACGCAGGCATAAAAAAAAATGCCAGCCGATCCACGAATTGAATGCTGGTTCTGGAGTGAAGCTACGTCCTAAGGCAAATAATCTGTATGTTGTAGTCGGCAAATAGTATGAAGCATAAACGGATGCATGGACGGACGCATTAACACATAGATGGACGCATAGATCGATGAATGGACAGATCTAGTACGCTATATTTTTAAACAATACGCTTGATCCCAGCATAAATGCTTTGTCAATGTATATGTACCACCTGTACGTGTTTTGGAGCGACGGGAAGCAACAATAACGACAACATCAACAAACATCCTGTGAAACTAAGAAGCTTCACTCCTAAAAAAGAAAATGATGTGAACGCTGTGTTGACAGTAGCTGTAAAGCAACACGCATTGAGAATAAAACAGAAACAAAAGAAGTGTGGCCCACTCGCACACTATGTATGTTGGTAACAATGAAGTTAGTGTACGACCTAGCTTCTTCTAAGCTTTCACTAGTAATGCCAAGATGGATGAGCTTTTCTAAGAGTCAATCTTTTCTTAAAAAAGGGCTTACCAAGCCAAACATTCTCAAAGAGTGCTGCGATGTTACATAAAACTAAAAGGACCTAGGGCTCACGCAGCCCCATTTGCTATCGTTCCATTCTTTTTATTTTGTTTTTTTTAGGGCGACAACATTCCCTGCCTCACCAAAAAGATTTCGACCCTCATTAGCGACTGTCTCGCGGTGTCGTGGATGAGTGACGCATAAAACTTTTGACGTCATCATGATTAACGAATTCTGGTGTGACGTCATATGACTAACCCCACAGGATGCCGTTCTACCATGTTCCTTTGAGCGGTGACAAAACCCGGACGTGAAGTCGTGGCTTGTGTTGTCTAATCCGTTATTCAACGACCTAAAAGAAAAAGAAGAAGTTCGTTTCCACCTTCAAATCATCCTGGTATATGCGTAAGCAGTTTTGTTAGGCCTCATTTTTTTCGCGCTTTATTGCATACAGTCGCAAAAAGTATCTGCTTACCATTCCGTTCGTATGTTAAAGCGCCGAAAGCTTATTTAGGCACATCTCTGTTCACTCATTCGCATTCGCCTAAAACGAACTGGTAGGCTACGAAACACCGAGAATTAAAAAAAATGGTTGCAATAATCTTGCTGCGTGTTATTTGTTTCGTATTTCATTATTTCTTTCAAATAATTCAGACACCTTGATTTACCGTCAGATATGCTACAGGTGGCCGAATTGGAGCCACTATATAAAAAAAAATAAAACAGTCACGCTTAAATTTTTATCTTCGGTTTATTTTGGTAAGCTCGGAATGAACTATGACGATTACTTTCAGAAACAAGTTGGTCGAGTCTCACGTCAAAAGCACAGCCATTGCATCAAACCAGTATTCGCAAGAGCTAATTTATATAAACATCCATTTTTCCTTCGAACAATCACAGAGTGGAATTTATTTACATCTTCTTCATCCTTGCTACGAAGAAAATTATGATCTTTTAGCTTATTGTGTCTGTTATTATACGTCCTCTCTTGCTTGTACTACTCTCTGCAGTTTTGTGCAAAAAAAATAAGTAAAATATACGTGGCACATTGTGTTATAATTGGCGCTTCTCCTACCAGAAATCCTGAATGCAAGCTGTCTTGTGACTAAGCTCCTCCTTGTAGGTAAGAGCATAGGCGATTAAAAATGCTTTTGACCACAACTGCAAAGGCCCGAGGCTTCAATGCACCTGACGATTTCCCGTCACACTTCCTAAACTTTGACTCGGTCAGATCACAACAGAATCGAAAGTTGGCCTAGTTGGATAAGCATATAACTGTCAGTTGAAGCGCACGAATAAACAGAAAGGAAGAGAGGACAGATACTTTTCATCTCTTCCTTTCTGTTTTTTCGTGCGCTTGAACTGACAGTTATACCATGCGGTTAGATCGCTCGTTTTTCATATCGTGTGGGTCTGCTCTTTATGGTTAAAAGTGTTGTATTCTGTTAGCTGCGATTTAGGTTTAGTCAGCTAGATACACGGCATCACACGACATATTTCTCCGTCAGTTGCGCAATTGTATGTACACACCATATCTCATAAAGTTTTAAGAGTGTGTAAAACTCTACTGAGCTATGGTCCTGACTCATCACATACAGCGCTCTTTAAACGTGGAGGCTGCTGTGTCTCCGATCCCACTGAAGTAGCGAAGGTTAATAAGGCAGTTTTTGAGGCCTGCCAACGACGATGCGTTGGTCGACTTGACAGCCGCAAATGGAAGTGCTGCGGTAAGGTGTGGTCAGCCTGCCAGAACTGTCTCGGATTTTGCGTCTCTCATAATCATATGGTGCTTCTGGGAAGTTAAAGTCCACATATCAGATTTGTCTCAGCCCAGATCGCAAAACCGCGCAGCGGCTGCGACCAGAAATGCCACGTCTAGAATAGCGGAGTTGGTGTCTTCGTAGGAAGGTGCACTGTATCGACACCTTTTCCAAACAACAGTTCCTGTAATATGGGCAATTCGCTTTGCCATCGTACAGAACCTAACTTTATACTGCCAATACCCCTCCCTGCCCGGCCGTTCTATTGTGCGTTACAAACGGTATCAGTCTCGACAGTTGCGTGGTTGCACCTATAGAACTTTCCCGCTGGTCTCAAAAAGAGTGCTATTGATACCACTAGTATTGTACCCATTATCATTGCCTGGCACTGCCAGTATGAGAGGTGTATACGACGCGAAGCAGTGGTGCAGTAAAGTGGAGGGTAGGGTTAAGTGTTCAATCCACCCCAAGAAATTTTGAATTTCGCTTGCGTCAGTGCTTATATATACATGCACACGAGCAAACATACGCACGACCATACATAAAGTATGACAAAATCACCCCCACCCTCGTTTCAAACAAAGTTTGTGGCTACGCCCCTGGCGAGAAGTGTCAAGTTTTTCACGCCATTGCTCCTGTTCCTTTACTCCAACTCGTGTACAGTACCAGTGTTGGGTCTGACGAAAGAACAGCAGAACAGGCCAATGAATGCAGATGGTTTTTTTTTGCTAACAACTAAGCATAGATGAGTCAACTACCAGCAATGATGTTCCAGCAAAAATATACAGAATCGCCTTGTCAGCGGCGCTTGACACACGGCGAAGCAATACCGCGTGCACACGACATATTGGTAGGCTTTTACCGCTATTTCACTCTACACTATCCACAAACTACCTACATGAATGGTCGTGCAGGAATTTACCGTACCCGTATTTTTTTGTACTTCTGTTCTATTTTAAGACTTGGTAGTTTAAGAACTTCATAGGTGTAGCCGGTACTGTCAGTGCTTTTGTTTGGCGCTTTGTAGTTCTGCCAGCAGTTTCTCCTCTCAATGTCAGAATTTGTGCCCGAGTCTTTACAAAGTTCCTCTCAATGTATAGCTTTTTCCAAAAAAAAAGTTGTCCTAGTTACGTGAAATACCATTCATGAAAGCAAGAGATTCTTTCTCTACAAAATATAAAGCGTCATTTTAGATAAAAACACTACATCATATTCAAACCTAACAAGAGTTGACTGAAACTAACGCTATATAGTCCTTTTTTAGACGGAAGGCTCCTCATAATATAAACCGTGATCATCGGGTGCAACCTTTGCCATCGAGCT